TGGGTAAAGTCCCAAATCAAGGCACCCAGTGAGTTGAGAAATGGAGCCACCAGCTCAAGCTTGACAAACTTTGCATATTTGTTCAACAACCAGCTTGTCCTACTGTGGTGAGAGAGGGATAAGCTCTAGAGCAGACACCAGCTCTCCATGAGTCTCGGCCAGCTGTTTACACACCAGCACGTATGGCTTGCCCTTCAAAAACAGAAATGCGACAGGAAAGCCAGATTCCCCCTTTTACCATTTCTCTGTGGGAATTTTTCTTTTTCTGTGAGGTCATAACAGCCAGCAAAACAAGTGGGGGCGAGTGTGCTATCTGCTCTTCTACAAATATTTTGTTGCATCCAGACGGCTTGGGTCAGGCTTTATCTTGAAAACGTATGAGATGCAGCAGGGTTTTAAAGCAGTCGTTTTACATAAACACTGACATTCAGTGAGACAAAACAAAGAAACGGGTCATTCCTTGCCATTACCAACACTGAGTCTAACTGTGATGTGGCCACTTGTGTCATTTTTAAAGAATGAGATCCATTTGGGTGAGGCCAGTGCACTGAACATCTGGGAAGGTCAAGATGCTGACGTAAGTATCACTCATGCTTCCACTAATTATTCACCTCTGCCACAACTGGTTGTGGTTGTGTCGGCACCATCGTGCCTGAGGGATGAGGCTCATTAGTCATTAAGATAAATGAAAAAAGGTTTATTGCGTTTAAAACCAAAAGCGTGCGATGTTGCGTTTCAGGCTGTAGCTTCAAATAGAACTACTTCTTACAAAATGGAGTTTCAAGCAAACATATGTAGGGAGTGTGTTCATATACCCTTGCAATCAAAATACAAAGTATATATAAACAGTTGTTTCACTCTTTCCACCACCTCAGCACTATTTATTTCTATAATTAGGTCCAGAGGGGTGTTTTAGAGCTTGAGTCAAGTCCCAAGCGTGAGCCCCTTAATTGCAGAGATCAAGCCAATCCTGTTAACCCTTATTGCTTGCATAGACTGTATGAATGTGAACTTAAGTATTTAATGATATTGTTTGTAAGTCTTGGTTAATTGGGTAGGGAATGGGCAGGATAGGATGGTTAATTGAGTTGGGAACGGGAATAACATTGGTTGCATGGGTTGAGGGAAAGGGAGTTTGTAGGAAATGAGTAGAATGAGTTAGTGTAGAGAATTGGCTGGGGAAATGGTAGTATAGGGTAGTGAGCGGTTTTGAGGAAACTACTTAGAAACTGTAGCTGCCAGATTCACAAGCTACTTACAATCTAAAGTAGTTAAAAGGGATAGTTAGTTCACCCAAAAATGAAATTATCACCCTCGTGTTATGGCAAAGTTTTTTTCTTTCTTTCTTGACATAATTCTCGTTTTTGGATGAACTATTCCTTTAAACCGCTGTGCTATCCTTAAAAAAGTACAGCTCCTGTCCTTATGAGATACTTTACTTGTATTCAAATAGTTATTTGATTATTACTTTTATTTAGTTGCTTTCCAACATGTGTAGGAAATATTGATGTATTGCTGTTGCGTGTGTTACTCTTCGCCATCTTGGATTTCACACTAAAAGCTAATGACTTCTTGATGACCTACTATTCCTTAGCTAATTGCCCAGATAGCACACATCTAATGCCCTCTGTTCCAGAAAACAATTAAGCCCGTTATATTTCATTAATAACAGCTCTGAATCCTTCTGCTCATCCTTCTGGCATACTGTATCATTACAATCATACAACACTGGCAACACTTTAACACAAGACACTTGACATATTACACTCGTAGAGAGCTGTCCTTTAATAGACATCTCAACTCCACATGTACAACTCCTTTTAGCATCTGATTCCTTTCCCGCTGTCTAATGGGAGGGGGTTATTTCTTTTATTACTTAAAAAATATATATATTTTGTGCATTGATTTTAAGCAGCCCCTTCCAATTAGTTGCTGCTCTCAGAAGCTGTAGCAGTCACCCAGAGGAGAGTGACAGACCCAGGCTGAAGGAACAAGAAAAAAGCTTTGATTAGAAAACTGAGCAAATTCGCACAGTCCTCTGTGAAGCCTGTCTATTGTGACAACCTCACAGTTTCATACCAGATTATTGGGTATTTCACTGAGCCTGTACTAATTGACAAAATTATTCACTGGAATTAAAAACGCTGTGCACCGCATTTGGCTGATCTTTCAACAGTTAAGTGTGCAGAGATCAATTCCCACTTGGCTTTGGGTGTTTTTTGTTGGCTCCAGGTTTCTAATAATTCCTCCTTTAATGGATTGCTTTGATATTCTGTCACTCTTTCGTTTGATAGGATTTTATGGAATGTTCCAAGGCCTCTTATTTGTCACAGGCAGAGCTCCTACAGATGACTTGGGTATGTCAAATATGTTGTGATCAGAGGTTTTCAAGGATGTGTTTGGCGTCATTCAACATAAGCACAAGATGGGGAAGTGACACACATTTCCAGAATCAAACATGTATTGGTGTTGAAATCAAATAATTACTGTCACCGATTAAAAAATAAGAAAAAACACAATTTAATTGTAATTTTTATAAAGCTTAACAATACTTTTCCATTTGTATCAATAATAGATGTTTGTCTAATTTATATAAAGAAAAAAACTAATTATTTAACCCCTAATTTATCATGAGAAAACCTATGCTAAATTTTGAATCTTATTTTTTCTTCCTAATTTACCTTGTTTAAAGGACAATGCGAAGAACAGTACATTTATAATCTTTTTTTATTTTAAAATTTTGTTTATTAAGCAAGGATATGTTAAATTGATAGAGTGATAGTAAAGACTTCAATTGATAAAAAAAAACTATTTTGAATAAATGCTGTTCTTTTTAACATTTTATTCATCAGAGAACCTTGAAAGAAGTAAGTTCCAAAAACCTGTAAAGCAGCACAGCTGTTTCCAACACTGATAATAATAGATCAGCATTATGGAAAAAGACACTCTTTATGAGGTTATTTATTTATAAATCAAACTCACATGAGACGTTTGGCAAAAGTATGTCATTTACAATTTTTTTTTTTTAAAGATGCAATGTAATCATCATCAAAGCTCAACACAACGAAATACCACAGTATGACAATAAAGTGTGGGGAAAGTTGTTTTGGTATTTATTGCAGATTTGCATTGAGTTCTGTGTGTGCGTTTCAGTTCCATTCGTGTACAAAAACTGAATGTGTTAATTTACCAAAAAACAAAAAAAAGACCAGTCAAGACAAAGATGCTAATTAAGAACTGGATTATTATTATTTATTTTATTTTTTAGATGTGTTAATTCTTTGTTTGGAGTCACAGCCACCTTAATTGTTTTTTTATTTTATCTTTTTTTTTATAACTGCATTAACATAAGTCCTCAGAGTTTGAATACATATAAAAGACACTGCCAGGGAGCATGTAATTTCGATTACTATGCTTCTCTTGTGGGTAGGTTTTGTTGTCCAATACATTACTGCTTGGAATTACCATGCTACATTTTCTGCTCATGTTATATTTATCAGATTGTGGTCATGTTGAAATTAGCTTGCGAATGATTTTGCTGTTATGTAGTTAATTAAAAAGAAACTCCCTCAGTCCCCTGTAGCTTTCCTGAGAGTTTTACTGCCATGAATTAAACAAATACATTCGGCCAACTAAAGATAGACGGCTCACAGTAAATGTAAGCCAGTCTTACTCTGTATGCTGACTCATAGGCAGTATTGGCTTATGAAGAAGGTAAATAATTTTAATCAACAACTTAGACCAGTGGTTCTCAACCTTTTTGGGGCTCCCACTGTCCACAACCATATTCAATGACATTTCTAGTTGTTCATGATGTACTAGATAAGAGTTTTAAAAAAAAAATGTTACACACAATTTTTTTACCTGATGAAATTGTTTAGACTTTGGCATAACTAGAAAAATGGAGTTGTACAATTGTATTAATTTACATGACTTTCCAGTTCTAGAAACCACAATTTCACAATTAGACTTCACTATATATACATGTTTTCCAGGTATGTGGGAATCCTCATTTGTGACCCTGGACCACAAAACCAATCATAAGGGCAATTTTTCGAAATTGAGATTTATACATCCTCTGAAAGCTGAATAAATTAAATTCCATTGATCCATTGATTTGTTAGGATAGGACAATATTTGGCCGAGATACAACTATTTGAAAATCTGGCATCTGTGCAAAAAAATCTAAATATTGAGAAAATTGCCTTTAAAGTTGTCCCAATGACGTTCTTAGCAATGCATATTACTAATCAAAAATTAAGTTTTAATATATTTACAGTATGAAATGTACAAAATATCTTCATGGAACATAATCTTTACTTAATATCCTAATGATTTTTGGCATAAAAGAAAAATCAATAATTTTGACCCATACAATGTTTTTTTGGCTATTGCTACAAATATACCCCAGCGGCTTAAGACTGGTTTTGTGGTCCAGGGTCACATTTTTCAATGAAAACGGTTTTTGAGAAGATTAATTAAAATATGAAATATGTTGAATTTTGTTTGCACTTATTTTCATGTTTGTTTCGTCTCATATCAAATTGTTGTTCATACTAAATTGGTCATTAGCTGGTCCAAGCTGATAATTAGCTGGTGCAAACTTGTAGACCATCTTGAACCAGCAACAAACCAGCCACCAGTTGTACAAACTTCAGGTGCTCAGAAGCCATCTGCTATGTTCTAAAACAGCTTAAACCAGGGGTTCTCACCTCTGGCCCTCGAGGTCCACTTTCCTGCAGTTTAGCTCCAACCCTAATCAAACACACCTGAACAAGCTAATCAAGGTCTTCAGGATTACTAGAAAGTTACTGGCATGTGAGTTTGATCAAGGTTGGAGCTAAACTCTGCCGGAAAGTGGACCTCAAGGTGCCAGAGTTGAGAAGCCCTGGCCTAAACTGACTTTTCCAGCAGGGTACATTTTGCAGGATGTCAGTACTGATGTGTGGCAGCTATTATCATCAACATGTCTTTCTGTTCTCTTAACTTCTTTCATATAGACCCCATCTACCCAGTGCTCAATTTAGCCGGCTGCTATGTGAATGGGCAGATCCTGGCACACGGAGACCATTGGCGTGAGGATGACTGTACCTTCTGCCAGTGTGTGAGTGGAGAGGCCCGCTGTGTGGCAGCTGCCTGCGGCCACAGCTGTCTCAATCCTGTCACTGTGCCCGGAGAGTGCTGCCCTGTGTGTGAGGGTAAGAACAGATGCACTTTATGGATGCGGGTTGGAATTGTATTGGGTTGAGCGTATCATTCTTGGACATAAACACACTCTATGCAAGCACATGAACACAAATATTTATGGTTTATGTGTAGTTATGATATGTGTCAAATCGCAATCATAACAGTTTTAGTATGCATCGCAATTTCAGCATCACACAAACACGACTACAGCCAGTATAAGCCATCTTCTTCCATAGTCAGTTTCACTTTCTGAATCAGCTACTGTCATGGCGAAGCTACAGTTGGTCTTGCTGAGCAAAATGACGTTTAATTCATGTTGTTTTTACAAAAGTAAACATTTTTACATAGCTATTGTGATATGATATGACATGACATGATATGAGATTTCATAGTGACTAGTTATCAATACACCGGGCAGTACACTTCATTTTGTAATTACCAGATAACAACCTGGACATTCCACTCTGACCTGTTCTTGTCCTCAGACTTATAAAATTATCAGTTTCTATGGCAACCATATTAACAGCAAAAAAAATTTCTGTTATTGACCCTTTGCCGGGAGTTTGATTGACAGGCGATCTGACCAATCATAATGCCAAATCTGCCATTTTGTCCGACAAACAAACCAGACAGGAGAGTAGATTAACATCAGTGGACTTGAATTTGAAAAATGGTCTGTATTGACGTCTTTCCGCGGTTGAAACAAGATACCTTCTGATGTTCATTCATGTTTATTTCATTCTATAACTAGTAAAGAGGAAGAGATTATCAGTTCACGTGCCGCTTAAACTGAGGTCGCAAAATGCTATTTATTGTTTGAATTTATTAAAAAATAACAAAGTTTGAAAGTTGAGACTTTGTTTCATAGCTAAAGTAACCTGCTCTGTCTTGTCTGTCGGCAAGTTGTCAGTTTCCTCTTTGCTCCGTGATGTATTTTTCACTGTGTGAGAACATGATGTGTGGCGTGAGAGCGCCATGGCTCATCGGATGTAGCAACAGTAACTAAAGTGGGCGGGTCTTTGCAACGGGTCAATTGGAGTAAAATATAACAACTCAAATATAAAACTCCCAAAGCCACAATATAACAAGTAACAGTCGTTATGCAAATGATGCTTTAATCGTTATGCTTTATTAATAAATGAGCTTTTTAGCAGGACGTTAGACATTAGTCACCCAAATATGTGATAACTACATTAAACTGTATTTTTTTTTATTTTCAGATTAATCTTGCATTTCTAAGGCATTAACAATAGTCAATTATAGGAATTATTAAACCGAAATATTACAAGATAAAAGAATGTTACTACTTTTTACTGCTGAGGCCAGCTCTATTTTTTGTGTGACGTTGCAGAAGTCAAATAGGAGCTCTCAGAAACTGTTAGTTTGCAAGTGGTGATTATGAGCTCTACAAGGACATAAATGCTTTTTACAAGACAGCATCTTGTTATTGCTGTAATATCAACATGGCATGAATGCAGTTGCTAGGTCGTTCTGGGTGTTTGCTAAAGTGTTGTACTGTAGGTGGTCAGTAGATTGCTAAATTGTTGCTTACTGGCTTAAATCAAGTGGTCTCTGTGATATTCTGGCCACTAGATATAGTTTGAGTCCTTTCAATATGATTTTTTTTACACCCAATTACACAACCAGGCGATGGGGTCAAAGAACAGATCATTAACGCTAAATATGAGCATTAATTCAGTGTTGTAGTCAAAACCAGCTCATTCAAGTCCAAGTCCAGTCTGAGACTTGAGTAGGTTGAGTCCGATTCAAGATCGAGTCCAAATGCTTCCGAGTTCAAATGGCATATTTTACATGAACTTGATGTCTTGTGGACTTACGATGGCTGATGCATTATCAATGGCTGATGCATAATCAGCTAATCAGTGTCTTCAGGCTGACTAGAAATGTCCAGGCAAGAGTGTTAGAGCTGGTTGGCCCTCCAGGAGCATGCTTGGACACCTCTACCGTAGGGTCTCCCATTCATCATTTTCGGTTTCAGAAGGGTGCTCATGTGTGCCCCCTTTTTAGCCACTACGCTCCCTCAGTGTGCACTTGGGCAGATCTGAGGAGAGTTCCACAGCAGACTTCTACCCTATAGTCAAAGCGACATTATATCACAAAAGTGTGCAATCATAAGATGGCCACAAGTGGCTTAAGCTGCCATTTGGGACAGGGTCTAAATATGCATTTATTTGTCATCACAGTGACTTATTTAATGAAACTAATCACCATCAGACTAAAATAAACTGGGATTCTCAAGACTGGTATCTATGTGTGTGAGTAAATGCTTTCTTTCTCCATTTCCTCTCAATGTTCTCTAGCACTCAGAGTTTTTTTTGAGTTTCCATTCCAGTCACATACTCTGTGTGAATAATCTACTAGACCGAGAGCAATGCAGGCAGTTACTTACCTGGATCCCCCAGCAACACACTTCCAGCACAACCCAAACATCTCCATCGCCTCAAATCTCAGGTCTATCGTGTCGTGTCTACTTTACTGTAATGCAATGCTGCACCAAAACCCTTCCTGTGGATTTCCCTCCATTAGACCTTGCTCCCTACCCTCACCTACGGTGGAATATCATATCCCGCCTTTGCCGTGTATTTTTCATATTGCTCACAGATCTATAGCGGTTACCCCTGGGACTTCCACTCCCACTGCAGCTGGCTGGGTTTCCCCCTCTGTGTTTGTTGCGAGGGAGAGATTCACATTGTTTTGTATCTCATCATAAGTTTGATTAAGCACCGTGAAGTACGGCGTGCACCTCGGTATGCAGGGGCATGGACTACATTCTTGTAGAGAGGGTTTCAGCGAGTGATAGATGAGTGGCAGGTATGTTGGATAATGAATTTCTCCCAGGACTGGCTGTGTGTAGACCGATGACATCATCTTTTTGAAAAGAGCTGGGGAATATAGATTTTCGCACTTCGCTGCTTGCCGTCTAGATTTTTAAATCACAAAAGCAACATGATGTTTTTTTCTCTCTTCCTGTTACTTGTAGTCTCAGGATCGCCGGGAATGGAAAGCTTGTTCAGAGCAATTAACAATCTTATCAGGCCATCCTAAGTGCCAGACTGACAATATGTGTGGGGGAGGATATGAAAAATCGTACTAAACAACCACCCTTTTTTGTGGCTGTGGAGGCGAGGCTCCACCAACTGTCGTGTTGGTTATGATCAATGCTGTTCCAGTGGAATTGAGTCACACCGGGGGTAATAGGATTCCTGTCTGTCTCATCTACCTTCTGCACCTTCACCCTCCTTCCAATTAAAGATCCAAGCAAATGAAGCATCCTTCTCTTGCTCCGACTCAGTATATAGAGAGAAAACAACGCCTGGATTGCTTTGTCTCATAGTGGTGCTTGATAATAGTGAAGGCAAGCATTACTATTACTATGGCTCACACTCAGGGTTAGGGATGTTAACAAATGTTCTACGGACATGAGTGATACCTTAAATTGTTGCTTCTTGAGAAGCAGCTTCTAAGCAGTCTAACTTGCGATTTTCACATGGTGTATGATAAATCTTTCCAAAAAATCAGAAAGACTTTGCATTGAATGTGATTTAAAGCTTGACTACTGTCAACATTATCTACTAATGTAGGATGGTCATTTATGATATATACAGTGTGACGATATAAATAAAATTGTTTTATTTGAAATATGTCTCTAAGACAAGTGTTACATTCTAAATGATGTAAACTATGTACTATCGTCTTAAATGGAGCATTTAACGTTAACATTTTTAATAACACAGAAACATTTGACATTCATTTGTTTAAAAAAAGGCATTTCAAATGCAGCGTGTTGTCGTTAGCTTTAGCATGTTCAGCTTTGCACGTTTTGCCTCCATCAATTTTTAAATGCATAAAAAATAATAATCAAATGTGATGACATGCAATTTGTAAAGTATTTAATTATCCAATAAATAGGCCTTAACACATTATTTAATATATCCAACCAAAAAAAAACGTTTAACACTTTACAATAAGGTTCATTAGTTAACTACTTTAGTTAACATGAACTAAGCATGAACAATAATTCTACAGCATTTATTAATCTTAGCTAATGTTAATTTCAACATTTACTAATGCATTATTAAAATCAAAAGTTGTGCTTGTTAACATTAGTTAATTCACTGTTAATTAACATGAACTAACAATGAACAACTGTATTTCATTAACTAACATTAACAAAGATTAATAAATACTGTATTAAATATATTGTTAGTAAATACATTAACTAACATTAACAAATGGAACCTTATTGTAAAGTGTTACCAAAAACAAACTATAATATAATATTTATTTATTTCAATCTAATATCACAACATAAGTTATTTTATAAAATGGTGACAGTATAATAATAATAATAATAATAAGTATTAGTAAATAATAAGATTATGCACACATATTGATATCAAATTTTTATACTGCTTCCCTCTGTAATAGTAATAATTATTATTATTATTTTTATAGTAATAGTAATAATAATAGTTGTTGTTATTGTTGTTGTTGTTTTGTTGTTAGTAGTAGTAGTATTTGTATTAGCAACTTAGCAACTACTTCACAACACTCTATCATTGTGAGGTGAGTTTTGCGAGTTTGTGTCAAACAAAAAAGTTTTGCGGTGCACCTAAATCAGAATGCAAAGAGTCTAATTAGTAGCCCGTAAAACTTGAGGTTGTTTGAGCTAGTTGAGGTCGTGAGGGAGAGAGGAGAAGAGAGCAGTGGATTGACAGAGAGTGACAGCAGCATGTCTGCAGACCTGCACAGAGCAGCAAGCTCACATTCACCCCTTTTCAATTAATCTTTCATACGCCTTTCGGCCTGTGAAGCAATTAGAGGTTTAGATGGGTCTGCCTGAGTGTGGAGAGCACTCACTTCAGTATGGTGGTGAAGTAAGGGGGTAGTGCACTATGGCTTTCCATACAAAGTTCTATACACAATTCTGCTGCTGCATCGCAAACCACATCTCAAATACAGTGCTCTCTCTTTATTTTAATTCTCTCTC